TAGATGAATATTTTATTTACATACAGCGGTTAACCCGCGGGACCCTGTACGTGGTCTTATAGTACCTACTAATATATAGGGTGTAACCCTATTATGGGTTATCCCTTCGGGGGGTTGAAGTGTCTCGTATATGGACCACAAAAACAAAAAAATAATAATTAGAAAATCCGAAAAAATATTTTGACTTTTCGTACAACACGTACCAAACCTCGGAGTCACTTTGTATGAAAAGTCAGATTTTTTTTTCGGATTTTCGTTTTTTATTTTTTATTTTTGTGGTCCATATACGAGACACTTCAACCCCCCGAAGGGATAACACATATTATAGTTACACCTTATAAAGTATTAATAAATTATTTCTTAAAAGAATAATTCATTGATGTTTGCACTGAAACAACAAAATTTATCTTCTTCCGTCCAGGTACATTCAAACCATTCTGCACAAGTGTATTACAGCGCCACTCCAGTAAATATCTTGATTAAAATCAATGAAATTTAGTTCCTACGGTGTTAAAAATAAAGTTTGAAATCAGGTCTGCCTTGAGGTCACCGGTGTCCAACGCGGCGCTTGGGGACAGGGCATGGTCCGGTCACCGGTGACCGGCGTGGCGTCTAATATGTTAAACACGAGACACGATACATTGTTACACCGACGTTATTTTTTAGGTTTACAACTATATAATTTATACGACATCTATTCGGCTTCCGAGACAGCAAGTTTCGAATGTTATCCTTACATACGAGTAATATAAAATCTGTCTGGTATGTTTTATTGTTGTTATTACACCTGTTATTTAATATTTATCAAAAAGTAACACACTGTCGCAGTATTATGTGATGATATCTAAAAGCTGTAATTTTCAACAGCAAAATGTAGCACCTAAGTATGCCATCTTCTCAAATTCCCTGTCGTCGTTATACATTTATGAATACATTATCCTAATTTCTTTCAAGTGAATAAAAAGTAAATTTTAAAGAAGTATACAAAGCTAAAATATCCATATCCTTATATTTAAAATGGATTATATTTTAATACTAGCGGTCCGCCCTCGCTTCGCTTCGGTGTAGAGCTGAAGTATAGACTACAGTTTTTGTTGTCAGGCTTGTATTATACACAATGATATTCATCTATGATTCTTCTTATACCTGCATGCAAAGTCTCAGCCCGATCGGTTTAAAATTGACAAAGTTTCATACAAACTTTCATTCCCTATTTTATCCCCTTGGGGGTAGAATTGATCAAAATCCTTTCTTAGCGGATGCCTACGTCATAACATCTACCTGCATGCCAAATTTCAGCCCGATCCGTCCAGTAGTTTGCGCTGTGTGTTGATAAATCACTATGTCAGTCAGTCACCTTTGACTTTTATATACATATATAGATAATAACGGTCATTTTTATTACCTGTATTTATAACCAAACTAAAATTCTCATATTTCCGTTTTCCAGTACTCATTTTCTACACGTTTTACATGATTTATTTGCTAATTTTGTTTACAAATGTTTGGTTTTTATTCTAAGATAAGCACGGTTTCTCAATATCAATTACTGTCTGTCAATAAGGTCGAACGCTCTGAACGCATCAACAGCCAAATATTGAATGAAGCTCGCTTTCTTTTTTTTTGTTTCCTCCCAGGCGGGTGTGAAATCCTCATGGATACCCTACAGCCGGCTGTAGAGTTATGTCAGACTCTTACTGACTAAAACACACCCGTGGGGGGTGCCTATGGCCTTAGGGGCCTTACAGGCTTCATCTGATGCGATCAACCCCTGAGATGGGGATGATGCAGCGCTGCCTTAGTAAATACTACTGCATAGTGCGCTTAGAGGACGGATGCACCCTGATGTGCATCCGTATCGGTTTGGGACTGAGCGACTGAAGGTCTCTCAGGATCGGGGGGGGGGGGGAAGCTCGCTTTCGGACCTCCCGCCTTTTTATACCCTACCGCGCCGCCACGACCCGTGTCGAGCGCGGCAGCCGTTACACAAAAATAATCCTTAAAGCATGATTCAATATTCACGTGCGACGGCGCGATGGCTTATTTCATGTATAAGTCTGGTGTTTCTGTACCGATTTCTATGATTCTTTTTTTATTGAATAGGTAATAATGTTAACTTTTTTAAATTAGGGATGAGTGAGAGTATTATAAACGTAAGAGTAAACAAATATAATCAGAATGCTCCGAACTGCTAAGCTATCAGGAGTTACACGTGTTATTGTGAGTCAACCATAAAAGATAGACATATGCTGTTGCGGGATATTTTTTAGACAATTTTATGTAGAATATTTCCATCATACATGATTTCTATGTAACTTTAACCATTAAGGCTCCACACGTGACGGAAGCTTAAAAAATGGAGTAACTTCTCCCGTTTTCCCAACATTTCCCTTCACTACACTGCTCCTATTGATTGTAGCGTGATGAAAAGTATACTATAACCTGCCCAGGAGTATGAAGAATAATTGTACCAAGTTTCGTTAAAATCCGTCCAGTAGTTTTTGTTTCTATAAGGAACATACACACAGACAGACAGACAGACAAAAATTTTACTGATTGCATTTTTGGCATCAGTATCGATCACTTATCACCCCCTGATAGTTATTTTGAAAATATATTTCATGTACAGAATTGACCTCTCTACAGATTTATTATAAGTATAGATAATATTCAAACTAATTCAACCCAATTTACGTTAATTAGTACGCAAACCCAGACATTGTGCGGCCCTGCGTTTAATTTGATCGGTATCTGTAAAAGTCAATAAAACCTGCACGTGATAGTCTCAATTGAAAAGTTTCGAAGATTTTAATCTTAGGAAGTCATTTGTGTCCAACAACAATGGTTGTCGGAAATCTTAATTGTAAGTATCCAACAGTACTCAGGGCTGGCTCCTTTCCCTCTCCATTCTTTCAAAAAAGTTTTTGAATTTGTTATTTCACAAGTCTGCTTAAATCGCACTTAAAAAATGAATATTTGAGGCGAGCTCTCTCAGCTACTTTATGGACGAGCTATCTCAGTTTATGCGGGAATGTAACAGACGTTTTCTGAAAATGAACTTCGGTAATTTTTCCTTTTAAAGTTTTATATCTTATTTCATGATCAAAGAACTTACAATGTGTGGAAATCAAACGAGAACCCAAATTAAATAATTATTGTGATTTGACTGACGCACCCCTGTGTGTGTGTGTTGAAAACATATAAATAACTACCTGTAACGCTAAGCAAATCATGTTTTAAGCCCGTTTATTAATCTCGTTTAAGCTCGATTGCCGCTCCAATTGCCCGTAAGCTATTTTCAGAGGGTTTGGCGAAATACGCGCGATTTGCTCCTATAACAAGCTTTCGCAAATGATCACAACTAAACGGGGATATCATTTTTTATTAATAAAACATTTTCACGGACGATGAAGATTAATTTCGAGCGGAGGCACGATTTCCTTCAGATTGATGGTCTCTGTCCGAAATCCGTTGATGCAGATGATTTATCAGCAACATCTACGTGCCAAATGTTCACTTTAATGGAATGTAATATATTACGCATAAATCAATCTTTATACCCAAAAAATGTAATAGGTTGATAAACTTTTTTCTGAGTGTGTTATTAGTATTTATACTAATAGGAGAACTTATAAGTATGTAGGTACTGTAACGGGAAATATATGTATATGCAATTACCCTTCGATTTCTATAATAAAATTAAAATTAAGATACATTTGCGAAAATATTATGAAAAATCATTTTTGATGCAAACTTTTCTAATAAAAAATTAATACGTCAGGACCAAACCTGATGATTTTTCATATACAAACACGTCTATCGTGCAAAAGCAGTGGGCAGAAATAATTCAAATGCTGCTCCCCTTTCAGCGAGCATCACAAATTCAAAGCCGCCATAAATGTGCGGTTTCCCTAGTGTTCTAATTACAAATACAGCTCAATACAAGCGCCTGGCTATTACGAAGCCACAGTAGAAATCACGGACATTCATAGCAAGCGAGATAGAAACGAAAATGCCACTGAAGAGAGAAATCCAATCCATATCATAATAAAAACATTTACAATACAATTCGTGAACAGTAAAATAAATCTCTATACCGAAGCCAGAAATGAATTTCTCGAATACTGAAAAATTATGTAAGTATAACCACCTATTTTTACTTCTATTATCACAGTGGTCTAAGTTAAGGTATTATATAGATTTTTTATCAAAATATGCCAGCTGTTTTGCAAATATCTTTGATGCTCCTGCGAAATGGTGATATCTGTAAGGTTACACAGGATAAAGTTTGCATGGCATTAAATTTTCATAGTAAAATAGATAATTGAGAGACATTCCCTTAATATACTTAGATTATTTTATTTAAATCTGAGTTAATAAAGTATAAAAAATTTCAACGAGTTTTTTTTAATTAGCTACTTTGAGCAGGCATTTTAAACACTCGCTTTTTGTTACTCTTGGTGTGATGTCACAATTTATAGCAACATAACAACAAAACAAAACAAGAATTAGAAGGTTGAATGCGCGCACACTATTCACTCGCACTAGATTTCGCTGTCTTTGACATATTTACCCTGTGAACTTGCGCTTGTTTCTTGATTTGTTTTTATGTATATCTACGTTACAACCGCTCGGTTGCGTCTGAATATTGAATTCCTCACAGGATTTTCGCACTATTCAATAATTAATTTCTTGCTCAAAAAGAACTTTTATAAAAAAATATTGATGGAGAGACAATTCAAAATTAAAAGAGTTTATATACAAACCATTTGCGCCTTACTTGAATTACATGCATATTCTCTAATCGAAAATCGGAATGATATTTTTGCATAGAAATGTCAACACAACTTAATTTCTTTTTAAATTAATTGCACCCAACCCTTGCGAAGCCGGAGTGGGTCGCTAGTTTGTTAATAAACTTGAAACATAGACTTTCGTCCTCATAATATCAGTTATTACTGTTGGACCAAGCAATCCCACCGCTTTAACCCCAACACGTACTCGCTTGATGGGCCTTATCAGACCCCACCGGACCACAAGCGGTTCATTAATCCCCAACACACACGCAATCTTCCTGCAATAAATCAGAACTAACTCATACACGTTACACTTGGAAGTAGAAAAAATACATAACACATTTGGGCAATAGAAAAAGTTTTGAAGACACAAAGGCATGAAACTTTCCAGGATTTATGAAGAGTTATAAAATAATGATATCACGGATAAACCTGAGCTGTACCTGTATAGGCAATTATAAAACTGTATTTCTGGGCTGCTTCTCACACACCTGCGCGACGAAGCATGGTACAAAAAAGTGTGCTAAAATTAGCGTCCGTTATAGACACCGGACGATAGCTTGACTGGCGATTTTTGACACGCACAAAAGAGGTTATATGGGACGATAAATATGTATGTGCCGCCAGAAGTAAACTACTTATGATAGTAGTAATTAAAAATTTAGAACACTAAATTTAGCGCATTTTAGCTCCCAAGCTTCGTCGCGGAGGTGCGGGAAAAGCATTATACTGAGTTAGCTTGCCAAAGCTTCGTGTTACAAGGAAATAAAGTTCAACCACTAAGGAGGATGGATCACGTGTAGGTATTTGAAGCACTATACAAACTAAACGCCAAAAGCCGACAAACTTTTTGCTAGCGGACTAATTGACCGTTTATGTCGGAACAAGTGAGAAAACTTAGCGGCTACAATAGCAAAATAAGACATCATTACCACAGCTTAATATCGTTTATTAGCATTATGTTTTGGCAATCGTTATCTTAAAACTATGTATATCACGTACAATCCTCAAATGGAATGCTTTGCTCGCTGACGTGTTCCCTCTCCCTCCAATAACCCGGGATCCTTTGAAAGAGACGTGAAGAAGCAACTTACAGGCCGTCAAGGCGGGGGCAATAGCTGGTTTGGTAGGTAAAGCTCCCATATCAGCTATCTTCGCATCTGGATTCGAACATCGCTTAACATCAGGTGGGGTAGAGTCATTGGTCGGACCTAAATATATATTAGTAATATAAAGAATTATAAAAAAAAAATTGCACGATTCTCCTTAAAAATGTTTTATTTGCCTAAAAAAGGACTTGAAAATCAAGACTGATTTCCTACAAAAGCCCAGATATATGACGTAAAACACTCACTCCTTTACTTTGGTCCAAAATCTCATATTAAATTGACGGGAGTATATAAATTCCTGATCTAGTTCCATAGTATGAATAGTTGTCACAAATAGGGGTGTCGGTCGGTGCCAATTAATTCGCCGGGTGAGCCAAGCGTCGAGAATTAATAATTTAATGAATACCGCCACCCCCGTCTTTGTTGCCAAGACGCTGCAATAAATTACCGACAACTTCATTATTTGGAAACACTTTTCAATTAGCATTTACCCTTTGCTAATGGAATTTTTTATCCTGCACTTTAGAATCTGTCACCTGCGTTTCTGGTACGTTTTAAAGCGAGCGCAATACTATAGGAGTGTATGAAATGTTCCACCGTTCTTACATAATAACGATTATTATTATATATAACGATATCGACTTAGCATGAGCCCACCTTATATTAAGTATAAGTGGATCTAGATGGCTGTGAAGTAGAAGCAGTGACTCCAGTCAGAACCGTATTCTAGTTGTATGTCGTCTTTAATGTCTCCTGTAAACGTCAACCGATGCGTCCGCGGACTTCGAAAGATGCACCAGCAGATGGGTCACCACGAGCCGATTATACGTCTGATGACGTCTGAGGTAGGTCATTCAGTCTGTGTTAATTCTCGACAGACGCACCATTGCAATTGCAATGCATGCAACATTAAAAAAAATGTTGAGATCGTAACTGTCGCGTCGCGGCAACTTATTTATTTAGTAATTTTAACTACTACTTAAGGAATATCGCAGTAGAGTTATAAAAAATAAATGGAAACTAAGGACCTGGTGGATGCTGGTTATTTTTTGGATTCCACAGGTAGTTTTTTGTTTGAATACAACTCGAGGAATTTCAATGTTTCATCAGTGCATATACATATTAGCTATTTTGGTGTACGAGAGTAATAAACAAGTGAAAAAAATTACAAGCACGCTGATGCGTCGTGAGACGTGTAGGTAGACACAGGCCAGGCGTTTGGCGCTGAAACCTATTGATACGTGCCACAAAAACCGACCACAAACGGATTGGTGGCAGACGCATCTGCCGACGTTAAATACCTACCAAAAATGAGCAAACTACCCCTTCTATACGTAGGAGGACGCATCCGAAAATCGCAACTGCAGATGCATCTGTCGACGTGTAGAGGATAAAGCATAATGTTGTATATTATATCCACCTTATAGAGGTTCTTGCCGATTGTTCTTAGTACAAGATCTCTTACTCCCCCTATTTTGAACGTTTTCGTAGCTTTTTGACTCTCAGAGTGATTTTACCAGCTTAGACATAACAAGCGATGTTGATGTTTTATTTGGATTTGGAATTTAAGTTTTTTTGTTTCAGGGCGTGCTATAGAGCGCGTGTGCACAGGTGCAGACGGAGCGGGTATGGTGTCAGCGGCTCGCGCGCTTCTCGCCGCTGTCACCCGCGTACTCCTACTCGCCGATATGGTCGTGGTGCGACAACTGCTGTTGGCCAAAGACAAGGTAGAAATAAAAAAAAATTACAAAAACGTTTTCAACACATTTGCTCAAAAAATGCGTTTACAAAGGTTGTATCCATTGTTCAAAAGTTCAAAATTACTGGTCATACGACGCAATAGTTATTTATGATACAAGTGCGGTCAGTTGGTTATTACAAACGGGTAGAATGTTGCGTCACGAGTTTGTAAATACCAATCCGCACGAATGTGATACAACGTTTTTCAACACATTTGCGTGAAAACGGTACCTATATCTACCAATCTCCTATTATCACCCACCAATCCGTTATTATCACTCACCTATCCCCTTTTCTCTCGAATTCCTTTCACACTCGAATATCCTTTTCACCCTCGAATCCCCTTTACATCCTCGAATCTCCTTTACAACCTCCAATTCCCTTTTTACCCTCTAATCCCTTTTTACCCTCCAATCCCCTTATAACTCTCGAATTCTTTTCACCCTCCATTTCCCCTTTTTACCTTTACAACCCCCCTTTTCACATTCGCAACCTTTACAACCCTCCTTTTTCACCCTCGAATCCCTTTACACCCTAGAATCCTCATTACACTCTCCTATTCCCTTTTCGCCCCTCAATTCCTGTCTTCATCGAGTCCCTTCTCACTCTTGAATCCCCTTTACACCCTCCAATCCCCTTTTCACCCTTCATTCTCCTTTTCACCTACCAATCTCCTGTGTTCATTTAGTTTAACTTTCTGATGTAGATACTCCTCCTCCCGCAATTTATCCCGCAGCGTTGCTTAAATTAGCGAGATTTGACAGAAAATAAAAAAAAACGCACGGCGCCATGTATGGGAGCGTGTGGTAAAATATTTTACCGCACGCTCCGTTGGATTGCTCGTAATTTTAAACTTTCGAACAATGTATATAACCTCCGTAAATGCAATTTTTGAGCAAGTGTGTTGAAAAAGTAATTATTACTCACTAATGATTCACATGGCGCAAAATAAAAAAAACCGTTTTTAATAAGAACAAAATCAAAAACCAAACAAGTGTGTACGTACTTAGGTACTCCTTAAACATTTCTCTAAAATTATTTTCAACTTGTAGCTAATTTAGTTTTGACCATCCCCATCAACTGAAGTAGGTATATCAAGATCGAATATGTTTAAGTGTTAGTAATAGACGTTCTCGATACTGAACACTAGAAAGTTTGAGAGTTTCTTGGAACTTAACACTTGGATACATCGCCCAAGTTAGTTGCGAAATACTACTTTCTGCTCCCCCTAATGCAGGTAAAGTTATCTCAAACCAAACCTAGTAAACATTAAAATAATATGCGAAGCAATTTAATAAATTCTCCTCTATAGTACCTCATAAACCTTTATCTTTGATTGATGAACCATTAAACTACAAAACAGGTCAAGAAAATCTTTTGAGTAGATTTTAACTTTAAAGCCGCGTCCTCATCTATACTATACTAATCTATGATCATCAGTCCCAGCCTTAGCAGTGAGGACACCCACTACGATCAAAGCGATCGCGTTGCCAATATTTCGTATATATATGGGCCTATAATCACTTTCCTTCTTTCTAGAGAGTGTTGAGAAAGTTGTTCATTTCATGTGACTGTCGCTCAGTTCATTCTCTACATCTATCGCATAGACTTAGTATTTAAAGACTGACAGAGTGAGGAAAAGAGGTACCATACCGTTACGACAATCCTACAAGATAGAAGGAGACGCAACATTAATTATAACTTTGGTCGAATAAAGTAAGAACCAACAGTATCCTGTCAAGTCGTTCTGTAACAAAGTTTATTAACAAATTCTGTGAAACTAATAATACAATTGTTCTTATACAATTCAGTTGGTGTTTTGGTATCCTGTGTTTTAAGTATATCTTGACAAAACGACACTATCACTCATACACAATTCAACATCGATACGCATACATGCACGCTTCAATTTTTGGAACACTTGCGATAGGTACACTCTCTCTATATTTACATCCTATATCTATTTATCTATCGTTCATACGGACAGGTGGCGCGCTCCCTCGACCGACTGGAGTCAGTATCCAACTTCGCGGAATTCGTGCGAGCGTTTACCGAATTCGGCGGTGGCATGGTGGAGCTGGCGCGATTGACGGCGGAGAGGCGAGCGGACCTGCGCGACGAACGACGGCGGGCGCAAGTCGCAGCCGCCAGGAATGTTCTTGAGAGGTCTACACTTATGCTGTTAACATCGTCTAAGGTAATTTTGAACAAAATCCTTCAATAAACATATTATTATTTTCAGCACCTAACCTCCGCACTTTTACACTTTGCATATAAATAATGTCCCTACTTTAACGTTACGAATTAGACTTATCTTCATACATTCTTTTGATATTATATCATTTTGACTTAAGTTTTTATTGGCATACTGAGTAATTAGGTATTAGCGTACGCGGAAATAAGTTAGGTACCACATAACCTCGCCGCTTGTCAGGCGGCACCGGCGCGGTACAAAACACAGAAACCTCTTTCTGTGATCTGTGGGCGGCTATGCATCACGCATTCATCCTCGAGGCAAAAAAATATTAGACGAGCGGCGCCGGACGCAGGTCGCAGTGCCAGAAATGTGAATCATGAGAACCTTCATGAACTAGGCTTACCTCTGTTTATATTCTCTTTGTTGACACAAGTTGTTATTGGCATACAGAGTAGGTTTAGTATAAACGGAACCACAAAACTATGCCGTACTATTTATTAGGTAAATGTAAGTCTTTAAATCTACCAAAATTTTGTGTCGTATCTTGTTGACTAGGATAGGCTATGTATTTTCCTTCTGGGGTTAGGCAGTAGATGTAAATGTTAATAAAACAGGAACATTTCTTGAGCCCGCAACCTGTCTACGGCTTGGGGTCCCGGTCTGCGCTCCTCATAAATGTCAATGTGGCAGTGATGCCGACAAGCTAGGAGAACATCACGGACTGTCATGCCAAAAAAGTGCAGGCCGCTTCTCGAGACATGCCGCACTTAACGATATCATACGCCGGTCCCTTGCCACCGTCAACGTGCCAAGTCTTCTTGAGCCGACTGGTATTGCAAGAGACGATGGCAAGAGACCGGACAGTATGAGTTTGATTCCATGGAAGATGGGCTGGGTGCTAGTATGTGATGCAACCTGTTCAGACACGCTGGCCCCTTCCCATCTACATGGAACCAACAACACAGCTGGTGCGGCTTGTGAAGCGGCTGAAAAAGCTAAGGCATGCAAATACAGGGGTCTAGGCTCCGAATATGATTTTTTCCCATTCGGGACCCTTGGTCCGTGGGGTCCTACCGCTATAAGGCTATTTTAAGGAAATAGCAAAAAGGTTAGTCGTCATCACAGGAGACCGAAGAGCTGGCAGCTACCTCGGACAAAGAATCTCAAGTCTAGCTATTCAAAGGGGGAACACTGCCAGTATCTTCGGAACCTTACCTAAAGGGGCTCCTTTTAATAATGTATTTTAGTTATTATATTTTAGTTTTTAAGGTTTTTAGTTTTAGGTTCATTGGTCTAGTATATTTATTTATTTTTTGTCCTAAGCTAGTATTAGATATATTTATATTTGTTAACTATATTATGTTATAAATTTCGTTCTGAAAGAACTTGAAGCTTCCTACGTCAAAGCCAAATATTTAACTTTGTTATTTGTTTAAGATACCTTAATTTTATTAATGAAGTGACTATTATTTGGTAAGGTGATGGTATTAAAACATGTCCGTAAAATATTTTCCAAAACTTAGTATTGTATGTAAAGATCAACCGATGTCATCATTTATTTAACACTGTGCCTATTGCCCAGGACCGTAGGGGTGGGGCATTATGGGGCAATTCCCTACCTCAAAATAATTGCCCTACCTTAAAAATAAGGCGGTAGGCTACGTAGGGTGGCACGCCCCTGCTTATGCCTTGGTTACATTAAATTACCACTGCCTTATCTTAAATGCAAATCTGACTACGGCCCCGACTGGGCCTCGTCAACTCAAAACTAAGCGAGGCATTAATTCACTTCTGAGTAAGATCAAACCTAAATTAAGAATAAATTCAATTAAAAAACCGAGCGAAATTACATTAATTAAATGTGAAAACGTATAAACGATAATAACAACATACACCTGCATAAATGTCTCTTTGTTTCCGCGCCAGATAACGCGGATTCGTACAAAGCATATTTCCACTTGAGAAGCAATATTATATGATAAGAAGTCCGCTAATGGAAAGGACGTATCAATAAGCTAAGAAAAATGACCCTCTACAATATTTTAAAAACTATGTTTTTTGAATAGCATTAGCCTTATACTTTTTTTTTTAAAACGATTGCTATAGATTTAAAAGGTTTTATTTTACAATGAGCGCATTATTTTAGCATGATGACTTTTTTATATGTTGTTCATTAGAGATTAACAAATATATATGTCGTGGTCATATCGTAGATTTGCTCATTTCATGAAATGCTCGAGTATTTCATGAAATGGTCGCATTTCATGATGTGGCCAACTTAATTTGAGCAGATCATTAAATCGTCAACGTTTAACGATTTTGTCATCCACATTTGGCCTGATCGTATAATTAGGGTGTCCATAAAATATTTAATAAAAATCCAGAATATGTTAAGAACTTGTTTATTGTCATTTTTAAGAAAATACACAAATCAAAGATTTTTTTCTAAATTAAACATCAACGTGTCATGTAGTTACACAAATGTAAACGTCATTTACATTTAGAAAACTAACAAATATTTGGAAATAAAAAGGTACTTTGGTACATATTGCAATAGTAGGCTTGATTCTCATCCGCACTTTTTACTTCATCCGCAGTTTCCAAAATGTCATATTTTGGCAGCCAGTAATAGTCCATGGATTTCTGTTGCGTAGTCACCCTACTCTCCTTAATTTGTTTCATAACCTAAAAAAGAAAAAACATTATCTTTATTATGTCATAATTCACAAACGAAGAATAATATTAATTTAATAGAAACACAATACGTTAACTGGCATAAAGTATTTTAATAAAATAAGTGAATAATGATGTAATTTAAGAGTAAAGTACTAACCTGTGTAATGCGATCCAACCCACGGTTTTTTTACATTTTACTCAGTTTTTGCTTAACTTGATTAGTACTCGAGAACCTTTTCGTTGAAAACCCTTTTGTTATCACTTTCTTCCTCATTTAATAACAAATTATGCACTTTATCACTGCGAGAAACAACATTGTCGGCAGCGGCCGCCATTTACAAATATAAACAAAGCGCTTGCAGCGCCTCTACCGGTAACTAATTTAACAACTTTACGATATGATCAAATAATATTGGCCATTTCATGAAGAAGCCGCGCGTTTAGTTGGCCATATCGTGAAACGATTTCTCATCATTGATCTGCCCAAACAGATAGTGATAGATAGTGAGACATTTCATGAAATATATTCGAGCATTTCATGAAATGAGCAAATCTACGATATGGCCACGACATATACACATAAAAATTAGACTGCTAAAAAATTGCGCTCATGTCTGAAAAAAATGATAATGCAAAAAAAGGTAAAACTTTCCAAGAAAAAGCCATTTTGACCTCAGTTTGTTGATTTATTTCGTGGGCAAAACGTAATTATTTGGACTTTTTATAAGCATAAAGTTGGTGTCCTGTATTTTACAAAAATTAAATTTTTGGTCAAATTGGGGTCAATTTTCTTAGCTTATCGATACCCCACCTCCTTTGTTTCATCATCCCAAAACTCGTACAAATTACCATCAAAATCATAGGTGGGCTGTATTAAATTTAACAGTGTAACCCTCTGAGGGGATTGTTATTAACACCGATGGATTGCCATAAATTGTCGTATCCCAAGTTCGGCGAAGCAGTACGGTGGGTCTCGTAAATTAGCCCTGTCAGGAGGTGGTCGATCAATTATGTATGGCCACGACAATTCCGAACCGTCTCAGGCACGACGCATAAAAACAAGAAGTTAATCCAATTCCTCCTCGTACGAATATAAATTCAAGGGTATGTAAGCTCACTTCTAACTGCACTAAATTTATTTTGTATCATCTGGACCATCCAGTAATCAAAAACTATCAACAGCATAAAACAACATATATGAAATCAAAAGTTACCGGCTAATACTTATATGAAGCCAATATTTACCGCCGGTCACCGGTAGTACGTCAACGAGAACGAGATGACAGCGCCGAAGTAGCGACCATATGGTAGCGACACATACATATAGGCCCATATTAATAGATAACTCTCAACAACTCTGAGAGCGATCTTAAGTACGACCTCGAGATGCTGTTTTGTACGAAAACTATATGTCAAGATCGTAATCACAGATTTGAGAGCGATCTATCAATACGGTCCATACTATAGCCACGGTAGACAGTGGCGAATGGCCTAGTGGTTCTATCGGTGAGTAAAGCTGAAATTAGACTTCATTATTGCTTTCGTTTTCGATGCTTCAATATAGTTCTGGCAGTCACCAGATACAAATATTCTAATTCTGATTATAACTCAACCGCATTTAACTCTACATTGTTTACCAGAAAAAAAATCTATGCTTTTAACTTGTCAACCGTATCTTATTACTCTCTTTATGTCGCCTACCTAATTTATTTTTAAATTATTGAACTAATTACAAACTTTTGCAATAAAAGCAGTCAAAACCACTGAGGTTTTTACGGAATACTTTCAAAGAGAAAGAATCCTGCATTGATACAATCGTTTAATAGAACTGTCTAAGCTTAAATTCTAAAATTTATATATAAAAAGAATTTGAGAGTCAGCATCAATGTTTATTAGTATGTAGACAGCCACGCAACGCTGAAGCGGACTACGGCTTTACGACTGTGCCTAATGCTTTCTAGTTCTACTTTTCATCTTATTTATTACAAAACTTATTTCAGACCCTCGCAAAAATCAATTGTAGAAGAAAGGCAAGTTTTAGGTACCTTAGCGCTGAATCTGTAGTAGGTAGGTACTTATTTTATGGCAGTTTACATAACTTATAAGCCTCTACAGCTAGGTAGATACAATAGTTTTAGAAGTAAAAACTTACAAAAATGGACGACTTCTAACTACTGAAAAAATCTAGGTTTATACTTATAACATTTATTTTTCAACATATTCGCTCAAAAAATGCATTTACAAAGTTCAAAATTATGGGCCATACAACGGAGCGTACGCGACGGTAAAACTTTTTACGGTTTTTTTATAATTTCGGTTTAACCTCCTTGGGAGCGCTTTTAATCTATACTTACGAGTATCTCTCACTTTAACACTAAAAAGGGACGAGAGTTGTTCTAATTTTCACCACCCGCACGTGGTGACATTTGGAAATGCGCGCCATTTTTCTATTAGAATAAGTTTGTTTCAATACTGAAATTAGGTATAGGTACTGTTTTCTCACAAATATGTTGAAAAACGTTGTATGACATTCGTGCAGAATTGGTATTTACAAACTCGTACATTCGTCTCGTACTTACCGCACTAATATCATAAATAACTATTATACCATTTGGTTACTTTGACATGAAACTTATATGTAGTAAGTAAGTAGGTAGGTGCAACTCAATCTCGTTTTAATCCTTTTTTGTAGCATCTATCTTCTATATCTTGAGAATGTTACAAAATACAGTGTATGTAACGTTCGTCGAAGTGGGCAAACTTAAGAGAAGCTATGTTATTTTTACCTACGTTTAATATCTGAGAGGATATAATTCAAGTGCTCGTCTTGCAAACTTAGTGAATAGGTATGTCTATCTTCTCTTCTTCTTTATGGTACGGACATCTTGTCTTCACCTGTTCAATAAAAATAAACCGAACAAGTTATTATTTTAATTGTATTTAATTGTATTTTTAGAACCTATTTGTGACGCCATACCTCCTTATTCTATTCCTGTCATTCTTATCCTCTTCTTCTTTTTTATCTGCCTTTAATACACTGTTTTTCCCTCTATTTCTGTTATATAGGTATGTATTTGTAATATAACAATTTCCCCTTACCGCTGTCCTATGCTGTCCTCGACAATATTATTATGATCATAACGTCATACCGTGACTTCAAGTCCCCCCATAAGTCCAAACAACAACGTGGACAAGTCCTCTAGCCTCTAAAGAAATTGATCGAGACACGGAGGCAGCCGCAATGTGTCACTGCGCGCCGCCGCTCCCTTTCTTTCGCCTCACATATTTCAGGAGCTGTTAAACTTGTTTTCTTTCGCAACAACTAAGCTTTTGTTTGCTGCACTGTTTTTTATCTACCTATCAAAGTTTATTGCCATTTTTTGTTTTTGTTAACTTAGTTAAAGCGATTTGGTTGAGTAATTATAGGCTTTGATGTCGTTGAGTAAATTCAGTGAGATATAAGTAGGTATTAATAATTACTTGCTTAATTCCGGGTCCGCAAATTGCTTTCGATACACAGATGAACGATAAAGAACTAAAGAGACATCGATTAATTAAGAGTGCACTCACTCAGATGATAACCAATTGCAGTATATATTGTAAATCTCTATTGGCTTCCTTTATCGTCTTAACTCAAGTCTTAGCTTCATAATTCAGCAACCCCCTTATTTCCTCATTTCTGCCAAAAGCTGCCACTTGCAACTGTCAAAGTGATTTACAAGCACAATGGTGTAAATAATAGACGTCGCACGCAGCGGGACCACCAAATATGTTAGCGGTCGGAGCGAAGCGCACCACTTGATGACGAAAGCAATGTCGAAACTCAAAAGATTGTTTCTTCTCATCTAACCTAATAGTATAAAGCTGAAGACTTTGTTTGTTTGGCTGAACTCGCTAATCTCAGGAGCTACGTGTACGATTTGAAAAAAACTTTTTGTGATGGATAGTGCATTTATCGAGGAAGTTTATAGGCTATATAAAATAATGCTACGACTAATAGAAGAGAAGCACCAACAAATAATGTTGCAAAAACTAGAAAAATATTCCATTTGAAAACTTCCGTTGCGAACGCTGCGTAAACGGTAAAAGTTACACAAAAGTCATGGATGAATTGTTCCCCTTTTAAAGTTACATAAAAGAGTCCGCGACTGCATATATCTATCTTTAAAGGGTGACCCACTATAACCTTTTTCCTCCAATTAATGCGTGTGAAACTGCAGGGTAATATTATAAAGAGTAAAGCTTTTTTTTATACATTGACAATTACAATAAATACACAACAAACATAAAACAAAAGTTACATCGTCAACTAGGCCCCACCTCAGCATAATGTTGCAACGGCAAAAAATGGATTGCCGCTGCAACGCTGATATTCTGGAGGGACCTAATTTGGACATCCAACGACGGAAATACAAGACAATCACTTAATACATAAAACAAAAACAAAAAACAATCTGTACCTCGCATCCCTCGCCTATAGCAGTCCAGCACAAAACAAAAAATGAAAAATAATAATAACACAAGAGGCTGTGTGGGCTCGGCTCTTTGCCTATGAAAATTTGGATACAGCAAAATAAGAGAGAGAAAAAAAATAAAAATAAAAAGACAAAACCATAACCTAAGAAATGTTGTAAGAAATAAATAAGAACAAAATGGAGATAAGACGACACGTAATAAAAGCCACGTCATCGGACCATTTAACAACGTGGCACAGCATCATAAAATTACCCTACACCGTGCATTATAAATAAGGCCGAGAAAGACACTGTACAATCGGCAATATTTACGAGACAATTTTACAATCCGTGGCCCGAAAAACCGTTCGCAGAATGCCGGAGCGTCTTCACCGACAAAGATTGATCACCGCGAATATCCAGAAAGTGAGTTTAATTATTTCCTGATAATTGCAGGTTCATAAAATAATTTTTGAGATGGCGTCTAAATGTGTACACTGTTTGCTAGCTTAAAAAAGTACGTTATCCTTAATGACATAGGCTTTTTTGGATGGCGATAAAATTTTCCCAGATTTTAATAATATTCCCTCAGAGCTCCTGTTTTAGACCATAATATAATTATTACAATTATTTCCTCACATTTATTATCCAAAAGGCAGGTAGGTACTATTACCTGTGCCAGAATGATTGCCTAGTCTAGTTATGTAAAATTCATGCTTAAATTTGTTCCATTACTGATAAAACTTAGCAAGAGAAATCAAATTAAACCGATACCGTACCTAAATAAATAGCAAAAGTTTACTTTGAGCGCTTATAGCGAAGTGGGTCAATTATAAGATGAAAGCCGAGCAAAATCTGGTCTACCTGATTCTGCCCATTGGTTTCAGTACACGCCTCTCATTATTCAGTTTTTTCTTCACTTAGAGGTATTCTACATTGTAGCGTCTCTTTGCATAGTATTTGAAATGGTCACAAAAATTCACTAAGACCAATTGAGAAAGGAATAGGTAACTATTATTTTGAACGGTAATTTCCGCGGTAACGCGTTGTTGTCATAAATACTGTAATTACCAAAGACATTAAAATACATACTAGTAATTACTAATTTTTCTAAATAAGATTTCTATCTATTCTCTAGCAGGGTTAATTCACTGGTATGTCTTATAAAATACTTATTAAAAAGATTTCAAAGATGTTCTGAAGTCTGCCATTTCTTGAAATATTTACTGGAGCTCGTTAATGGGAAAAAATATACCAGCCATAAAGATCTGGTTTATGTTGGTAATATTGAGTTACTCCGACATAAGGTAAGTGATACAAATAAGGCCTACCTAATTTCAAACACTCATACCATGATAAATTATTCGAAGAAGGTGATAAATAAAAGCAAGGCATTATTCCTTGGTTCATAAATTAAAAGTAATTAAGAAAACATATTACAATCTTTTATCAGAAATTACGTAAAAAGAGCTAATTCTGGAACCTTAGCCTTTTAAAAACATAGTGACTTAACAAAGCCTATTTACTTAAATTATAGGAATATTCTTATTAGAGTATAAATTATATTTAAATGTTCTGAGTCTTCCCATGTTTCCATGTTGAAGTGTTTCCATGGGATCCTTGAACAACATTCTAATTTATTTTACTATTCTAAATATTTTGCTTAAATCTGATATAGACATCAGACACATACGAGCAGGTAGTCAGATGTGAAGTCGCATATTATTATTATTAGTTAGAAGTAGTATTTAATTTGCATATTCTAAAAAGTTAAATTTTAAGTCAAAGTCAACTTTTTTATTAGTTTTATTGTGATCCGTATACATTACATGAAACAAAACTAAGAATAATGTATTAAAATTCGTTAAAGATTACGACAAATTAATAACGCGCTATAAAAAGCTCGTCCTTCACGAAGTACCACCACTACTGACGTGACTCTTACGTCGCAAACGTTACGACTATGCTCAAGTTACGTCGAATGTTGCTTTTAGGAATGCGCTATTTGATATTTTGTATTTTTTGTTAGACTTGTCTCCGGCACCCGGGCAGCGCATCGGCGCGGGAAAACCGCGACACAGTGTTCTGCCAAATGCGTCGCGCCATGGACCTCATACACTACGTGGTGCGCGACGGCCTACCCGGCCACGACGAGCCCTCCCACGAGGTTCGGTACTACACCACTATTATAACGCACAAGCCTTGCATCTGACTACACCACAACAACGCACAATACTTACATCTCACCACACCAGAATAACGCAGAATACTTATATCTGACCACACCAAAAGAATGCCCAATACTTGCATCTGACCACAACACAATAACGCACAATACTCTTATCTGGCCACACCACAATTATACCTACTTGTTTAATTTCATTAACAAGTATTAGATGGGTATAACTGTTATTTTTTAAAAATTGTAATTGGTAATTCAAGTATCTTCTAACTTTCATCTGAAAAACGGGTTTGATTCCTAAAAAGTTCCAGTTATATACTAACATTTAGTTATTTTGTTAGTCAATCACTATTGAGATACTCTGCCTCTTCTAAACTTATTTTCCTTTGTATATTTTTAGGAAATCACACAGAACTATTAAATTAAGGATGATGCTGAATAAATTATTCAGTTAAAAACTGAACTTTCTTACTTTTTATAAAAATCTGTAACTTTATATACCTATAGATATTTATAGCTATACTTACTACTTACAAACAATCTCGCAGACCTCTTATCGACTCGATTTATTTAAAAAGATTGATTGACTGTCACTCCCAGGTTCGAGCTTCTTTTTCCTAGTCGTGCACTCTTGACAGAGTGGTCGTAGTCATGTCTCTGTCGATTCCTGTGCCACTGATGCAATCGCGATGCATCGCCATGCAGCTCGATGTTTTGCAGAGCGACAATCATTTACGCTAGAGTGCGTCGCCGATTTAATAAGGTCTGTCCACCTTGTTGGAGAGCGCCCTCGAGACCTTTTGTCCTCAACTTTCCCTTGCACCACCAACCGTTCCATGGAGTTTTCATTGCAAGTAATATGCCCGAAGAAATTGAGGATTCGTATTTGCACAGTCGACGATAATGTCCTTTGATGTTGAGTTCCCTCAGGATTGAAACGTTGATCCGGTGCGCGGTCCACGGAATTCGTAGCAAACGTCTCCAACACCACATTTCTAGAGCGTCAATCTTGCGACGGTCTATCGTTTTGAGTGTCCTCGTGTCTCAGCTCCATGTAGAAAGATTGGAAAAACCAAGGATCTCAATAGCCGAATCTTTGTGTTTTTGGTTATCCTACGGTCTCTCCAAATCTTTGTGAGTTTTTCCACTGATGATCTAGTCATGGCGCAACGTCTTCGAATTTCGTTCTCGCAGACCCCATCGTTGAAAATAATGGAACCCAGATATATGTAGCTGTTGACAACCTCGCAACCCGCTATACCCTGGACGTCCGGTTGGTTATAGTTAGCTCGATCCACAATCATTATTTTAGTCTTATCCCGATTGATTGCAAGTCCAAATTCCAACGCTGGGCATTGCAAAGAAATATTCCAGATCAAGATCCCTTCTTTTCCTATCATAAAATATATACAATCAGATTTCAAACCCCTTCATTTGTGTGCTCACTAAACATAGTAAACTCCGTTAAGATTAAGTTGTTGTTTTCAGACAGTAATCCGTAGCCACCTAGCCAATACAACAAAGCTTCTAATAATTCCAATAAAAAAACAATAGGTTACTTTTGCTTTACCAAACCACAAAGTACTTACGTAACCGCGTCCAACACATTGCCAATATTAATTTATTTTTAAAAGAACGTACCTTATGTATAGTTCACCAATAATATACAAAATGTTACTTCCGAAAATATTTAATATAACCACATGGTTATATTATTTGTTTATTATTATAGTTATTTCTCTCTTTAGAGACAGAAAATGAAAAGATTAGTACACCTACACTGTGGATATGAACTGTCACTCGTGTCATTATTTCAGAGCTTTCTTCTGTACCTACCTACCTTCTGCAACCCATGTGCTATTTGCACATCTGGGTTAGGTTGGGGGGGATATTAAATCTTTTCGGATGTAATATTTCGTATAATTTTGGTGGAACTTCACATAAGGTAAGTTCTTTTAACCATTAATTATACTTCAATGTTACATCCTCAAGATTTAATATAACCATGTAGTTGTTTAGAATTGTTGCAGAAAAAAAATTTACAGAAGTTATCAGTCATAATAACAATCATTTATTAATGTATCAGTCTTCGTACAAGCATAATTATTATTCTTAACAAAATTAAGATCACATTTATTTATTTTTTATCCTAGTAGAACGAATCATCATTAATAATGAGCTTTGAAGTTAAATTATTAAACATTATTTTTATTAACTAGTTATAAAATCAACAATTTAGCATAATCAACATTCCCTTAATCATTTCCGTTATAGTCACATTTTCGTGACATTGTAAACATTTACAAACAATCAACTTATTCTTATATAGTATTAACTAGTGTTATTTATTATAACATCAGCAAAGAGCATTCATCTTTTTGGTGGGCTTAAGTTGGGCTTAAGGCAAGTTATAATATTTTGCGAAGAACTTTCAGCCCAGCCCGCGCTGTTCTCTTAATTATGTTAAGGGAGAAAACCGACCTCTGCGCAGCAGAGGTTGATGCACGTCGCGTGCTACAGGTAGTAAAAATATAAGTGTCAACGCCACTATTGCTTAAGATTTCTTTTATTCACCTGCTAATAGTCTAAGGATTGGCATTGTAGATAGGTTGTTAAGTTGTTAATATAAGTTTACTACATTGTGCTAAGTTTCTAAATATTGTAGTCTTATTTAAATAAAAAAAAAAGACACTGCTGGGCAAATAGACAGTTTTTCTCTGAAAAATGGTAAAATAAGTCAAGGGTTATTTTTATTCTTCGCAGATGTTTTAATGAGATCATTTATTATTATTATAATATGAGTTTCATGTATTTCAATATTTTTATATTCAATAAGAGATAGTGTCTGAACGCGTATGCTGTTCTGTGCAAAACGCCAAAAGCATAACGAGTTTCTTAGTAAGTATATCTAATATGTCTATAGCTTCATTGGGACATTTTTCATTCAATTAGTTAAGTACAAGTTTCTGAACCCAAATTGTATGGTATTTGCGAAAACAAGGTTTGGTTCTGAACACCCACTTCAAAAATCTTGTGATAATCTCATTATTACAAGTACTTTTCCCCACTACGAGTGATAGAGCTGTACCCCTAGCACAAACCATTATCGAATTCGAATAGTTTGCGAGTGCGAAATGTCAATGTCCAGTTTTGTATGGAAAGTTGAACAGCAGCGCCACAAAGTACGTAACGAGAATTAAAAATCAGACACATTTGACAATGACATTTCGGACTCGCAAACGTTACGTTTCAGTTTTATTAATCATAGTCTTGGTTATTTTCATATTTTCTTTTTCATTTTTCGTTGAGGTAATAGGCTAGTTGACCCTTTTTGGAAAAAGGTTTTAAATGGTTAATAAATGTTCTAGTAGACCGAAAAAAAATGTATTGTATTTTTTTTAAACCTAGAAAGCTACAAATCTTTAATTTTAAAATAGACTTTTCATGGACATACAAAAACGCTGTCGGCCATTTTAGTCTATAGATTGTCTATGCTATGACGTGAACTGTGGTAAACAAAAACTCGTAAACACGAAGAAAATTACTTTTAACTGAGTTTATAATAAAAAAAAACATGATTTCTAATAAATACCACGAAAAATAAAGTAATTATCATTACTGTATTGTACGAGAATATAAAAACACATCCTTGAAGACTCCAGGAAAGTTGTAGATTAAAGTGCCGAAAGAAATTAACCTACGGAACTTTATTACACTTATTCATATGTTGTATCAGTTTTATGTTTATTACTAGATTGTAATACTAAATGCACTGTACTTACATAGATGCCTTGTCGTTTCTCTGCTCCGCAGAGCAGAAATCGGGGTTTAGTGCAACAAATTCACCAACCATCAATGCGTCAATTCTTGGCAGATTTGTGCTTTCTGCTTTCACAAAGCCGGCATCCATAATTTGTTTAGTCAAAAAAAACTAAGTTTACTGTTTTTTTTCTTTCCTAAAGTTAAAAGTGTTTTAAGATAAATTTAGTCAGACGAAAGAATCCACCTACAGTAACACGCGAATGACATTTAGTTGTTTACCACAAGAGACGTCAAAATCATGGCGAATGTGGCGAACAGCGTTTTTAGTGTTTAAAAAATATAGACTAAAAATATTTTTTAAAATTAAATTTCTACAGCACTCTTCTGCTTTTATGAAGTGAAATCGATATATAAGGGGTGCCTTAGACTAAACACTTTAAGAAATAAACATTTATTTAATACAATTCGACATGAGTAAACTAGCCTATTGTAAAGTCATAGGCTGAGAGTTGACAACCAGACCCAGAAATTTACACTTTTGTGGGGACCAGATGACTTTTCTCATAATTTATAACTAAGCCAAGTTTTGCTTAGTTATTTATCAACTTTTGCTGTATTAAGACAAGATGAGGAACTGTTATTTATCACTAATATATCGTCTAAATACATAACAAGCACGTGACCTTAGCTTCTTAAAAGTGTTAGCAAGGGTTTTAAAAGTTTTGTGAAACCAACGGAGCTGCGCTGAGTCCATAAGGTAAGCAATTAAATTCATATAATTTATTAAACTAAATCGTAAATATTATTTGTGTAAAGGATGCATAGGCACTAAAAAATATGATTCTTTCAGATCAATAGTAATCAAATATGAATCGAGAGAAAGTTCAGTTAGTTCCTCTCGATATTTATTAAGTGCTTTTAAATTCAAGATAAAGCTATAACCACCTACTCTTAGGAATTAAGAAAATTGAGGAAATAAATTTCTTATTTTCTTCTTGGCATTCAGAAATGGCGCCAAGGTCTAATAAAATTTGTTTAAAGCTGTTTTTATATGTATTGAGCCTAGTTATCCACCTGGATTACTAGGCTCAATACTTTGTAAAAATCTGTGACTAAAAGATATTTTATTAACCGACTTCAAAAAAGGAGTAGATTCTGTGTTTGGCTGCATATATTTTTTTTATGTTTTTCACCGATTTCTCCGTCAATTGTAGATCGATTTC